AAAGGTGCAAATCAAGCATAACATAAAAAATGTACAAGAAAAAAGTCAAGAGATGAAAAGGCTCATCAAAGAAATATTTGACCTGGAAGGTCAGATAGCAGACCATGAAATTACAGTCAGGAAAATGGAAAATGTGGAAAACGGCACAGTTGAACTGCTGAAAGAAGAAAAACACAGAGACTTCTTCTTTGCAAGCAAGATCTTATTCAGACATGATAGTAGTACCTCTAAACATGAGTCTGAGGTTGAGAAGCAAACGCTGAGTCATCAGATTGAAAGAACCTCTGGTGCAGAGGACCCTGAAAGTACCTCCTCACAAAGACAGAAGTTAGAGAGCTGCAGAGCACAGGAAATAATGGAACTGCCAGAATCAGGATTCGGATATCAAGATACTCAAACAGAAGAAGGAGAGGATGCCAGCATAACAAAACAGCAGGCAGAGGTAAAACCTTTAAGAGAGAATACAGAAATACAGACGCAAAAGTTTGACGACTGTAAGCAATTATGTAAAAGAGAAATCAGAGAAATGGAAATACTGATATCAGAGCAACAATTACAGAGAAAAGAAAGTGAACAAATACTGCGAAAAATCGAGCGAAAAAAGAATGAAAATGAAAGGACTTTGGATGAAATTAATCAGAAAAGGAAATCTATGAAGAAAGAAACAGAGATTACTAAAAAACAGCTGGACCAAAGACTGGAAAAAATCTTTAGAGAGAGAGATGCATTAGAACAGTTGCAGTTGAAAATAAAACGACAACAGCAAGACCTTATTGAGGAGAAGCTTGGCATGAAAACACAAACTACTCTTACCTATGAACAAGGTGAAAGTGTGAAACAAAATTTGGAAAAGACAGATGTGAAAATCCACAGTGGCATCAGCTCAACGGTGGCAAATTCCATTGATGACTTTCACAACATAAGAAAACAAATCTGTGTTAATTTGGAACTAATTAGGAATGAAATGCAAATTCTAGAGGAAATTAATATTAATTTCAGAGGACAACGAGACAGACAAGAAGCTTTAAAAGCAGAGACCCTGAACTTGAGGGAAAAAGTAAGCAGAATAGAACTTCAGTTGAGAACAGGCTCTCGAAAATCATCTAAGAAAGGGGAAGAAATTCAGCAGGAACAGGGTAAGATAAAAGGGGAAATGGATGCCATCAAGAGATCAACTCAGAAGAAAAAGAAGGAACTTGAGCTTCTACTAGAGAGAATAATCAGAGAGAGGGACGAGCTAGAAATCATAAAGCTTAAACTGCAAAAAGGACGTGAGGAGAAAAGTGATGAAATGCTCAAGTTGAGAATTACAAAGATAATTACACAATATCCTAGCCAAATTCAAAAGTACTGGGGAATGATTCAGATATATAATGAAAAATATCATAATATGAATATAAAGTGTGAAAGTATGAGTGGTGAAATAGAAAGATTAAAACAGTGTATCAAGGTCCAGGTGAATGCCATCAAACAATCATGGACAGAGACAAAAAATATCAAAAGGGAAATAAAAAGACAACAAGAATTGATGATATGTGCATCAAAGCGCGTTACAACAAAAACATTCTTTTGGGATCTTAAGAAGAATGAAAAAGATAATATCGGAACAACTGGAGATGGTCTTACTGACAAACCAAATAAGCTTTGGAAGAGAAGAGATACTTTTGATATAAAAGGAATAGTTAAGCCAATGACAGTAATAGTTCAAGAACAAAAGAAAGAACAAACATTCAAAGAACTTAAACAAATGGATATACAAACTAATGAAAAAGATAAATTACAAATAAAGGGAAAAAGGAAACAGGAAGGTGAGTTTGAGGAGTCTTGTCCCAAAAGCATAAAAATAAAGAAATACATGGAAAGGAAAATCTGGGATGGAAGACAAAAATTGGAAGAAACTGAAACATTGGTTGATGAGAAAAATGATAAGCTTGGAGCCTTTGA